TCTGCATAGTTACCTCCCTGTATTAAAGAAAAGACACTACACTATCTCTAATATTATAAAACTCTAAGGCCTGGTTCACACCTAGGCGTTTTACATCGCGTTCCTACGGGCTTTAAAACGCTCAACATGTGAAAACCAATGATTGCCATGGGCATGGTTTCCACCTGGGCGTTTTACAGCGCGTAGGAACGCGCTGCATAACGCCCTAAGCCCAAAGAAGTACAGGAGCTTCTTTGGGGCGTTTTGCCGCGCGTTTCCATTTATATTCCCGAGTGTGGATTGGGGTTAACAAGGCGGAAACCCCGAGCCACACTCGGGAATAAAGCGTACAGGTCTTACCTTATCCACGATCCCCGCTGTGTCCTCCGGCGACTGCCGACTTCCGTCCCTTGCGAGCGGCCGCGTCACAGGGGGCGGAGCCGGCGGGAAGTTTAAAAGTGAAAACAAATTTTTTAAAACTCATACCGCCATGACGGAAAAACGCGCTAAAAAACAAGCTGAAAAAATACGCTCAGGTGTGAACCCAGCCTAAGTTCATATACTTAGTGACAATTATACAAAATGTTCACTCCAACTTATATATAGTCCATATAAAAATGTTCCCAAAAATATGATCAAAAATAAATGTGATGAAATCCTTGTGTTCACTTTCTTTATATTACATTTCATCACATTTAAGGATTTCATCACATTTATTTTTGATCATATCATTTTTGGGAACATTTTTTATATGGACTATATACACTGAGTGGCCAGATTATTATGACCACCTGACGTTTGTAGGCATATTAGCTATAATTTTGCACTGAAGTTGCTAGAGGGCCAGACCATTATAAATAGGGAAGCAGGTTGTTTACCACGACAGTAGAAGTGATTTTTTTTTCTGAAGCTATGGGTAAACTACGCAATTTAACAGCCTTTGAACGTGGGATGATTGTTGGCGCCGGAGCCATGGAGCGAGTATCAGCAAAACAGCAGAATTCGTTAAATGTTCAAGAGCAGCTGTTGTTAAACCTGGGTCTGAACGTGCGAATTGTGGCCATCAGCGACTAGGTCAATGTTAGGGCAGAACAGAGAGTGGCAAGACAACAGAAGGGCAACAGTGCATCAAATTACTGCAGATCTTAATCAGGGATCCTCTCAAATGATCTCTGAACGCACTGTTCGCCGTACGCTGCATCGTTTGGGATATGGAAGCCTAAGGCCTGTTCAAACACCTTTTCTGTCTGCAGTTAAGATAAAACGTCTCCAATTCGCACAGGAACACAAGGATTGGACAGTCGAGCATTGGAAAAAAAGTAATGTGGTCCGATGAATCACATTTCCAGTTGCATCATGCAGATGGCAGAGTGAGAATTTGGCAGGAACAGCATGAAAGCATGCACCCCACATGCATGAGTACAACCCTTCAAACTGGTGGGGGCAGTGTTATGGTTTGGGCCATGTTTTCCTGCCATGATTTGGGCCCTTTAATTCGTGTGGAACAACGTCTGAATAGCACAACATACCAAAGTATGTTGAGGTTGGATCCCAATAAAGATGGCTTCTTCCAACAAGACAATGCGCCATGCCACGGTGCTCGTATTGTGCAGGAGTGGTTTCAAGAACATGAGGGAGACTTTACCTTGCTTAGGTGGCCCCCACAATCACCAGATCTCAATCCAATTGAGCATTTGTGGGACGAAGTTGAAAGAGCCATCAGGCAGCTGGTTCCACAACCATCAAATCTCACAGAACTGGACAGTGCTATTCAACAGGCATGGTGTCAGATTCCTCGCATCACCTTTCAACATCTCGTGGAGTCAATGCCAAGAAGAATCGTCGCAGTATTGAAGGCAAAAGGTGGCCCAACTAAGTACTGATGGGGTGGTCATAATAATCTGGCCACTCAGTGTATAAGTTGGAGTGAACATTTTGTATAATTGTCACCAAGTATATGCACTTAGGCTGGGTTCACACCTAGGCGTATCGAATATGCGCGTTTGTCGCGCATTTACGAGGACTACTTGGCTGTATCCCAATGGAAACGCGCGACAAAAACGCCCCAAATAAGCTCCTGTACTTCTTTGGGCGTAGGGCCCATACGGCCTGTAATACGCCCAGGTGTGAACCATACCCATAGGAAATAATGGGATTTCGGTGGTTTGAGCGTTTTGCAGAGCGTTCGAACGCGCTACAAAATGCCCAGGTGTGAACCAGGCCTTAAGAGTTTTATAATATTAGAGATTGCGCAATGTCTTTTGTTTAATATAATGTGGGAGAAGTTTCTATAGCTTCTCTCTGTCTCTGCAGCTGTCAATAGGGTGTTATTGAGGATTTTGGTGTAGAGCACTATAGCGCGGATAATCATTTGTTTTGATAGTTACCTCCCTGACCAGAGGTAACTTAACATGTCTGTACCTGAAATTCTCGAGAAGAGAACCTAGCATTAGCATGGCATAATGATGATAGACCAGTTTGCTCATTTTTACCCTTTGCTATTGAAACAAGGGTTCAAGTGCTCCGCAAGAAACAAAAGATCTTTCAGGTCTTCTTTTTTGGTTTCATTAGAAACACGCAAGGGGTCCCCTCCCTGTGCAGTGTTTGGTCGGACTGCTGATTTGATCTGAACAGGTGTTTATTAGGAGGGCTAAGCCTCAAATACCAATCACTACTAGATGGTGCATCTAAAAATTGGTAGATGTAAGAATAGGACAAAAAAACAACAGTTTAACAATAAGCACATAAGTGTTCAAGTCGGAAGTGAAACTACTGTCATGTAAAACACAGCAAATCAAAAGCTTGAGATATACTCACTCAATAGACATAAAAGTATAATAGGGTATGAAAATGAATGAGGCACCATACTTAAAAATGGAAGTTAAGTCTTTAAAAACAGTATTACTACTACTACAGAAGAAAGATTTGTATACACAGAGGTAAAAAGAGTAAAGCTTGTTAGAACAGCTTATCCTGTGTCCATCTGCTGCCCATTCAAGACAAACCTGTCCTGAGGATAGCAGCTGTTCCGTGGCATTACATGCAATCCAGCACCAGATTACAAGGGGAATCCTGGCTGTGCCTCTCGTAACAGCATCATGCACAGTCACTAACGCAACATGCGACTAGCTTCAACAGCCATATCACATGCAAAAAGTTGAATCTCAACCCCCTCTATATATTACCAGTACTAATGGCCAAAAGAAAGCATTAGAACATTTACAATCATGCTACATTCATCGCAAAATACAATCAGCATATTAGATATTGCGTTATCACTTAACTACCAACTGTCCCCCAAAAACTGGTATATTAAAAGAACTATTGAGTTAAGGCTTTTCCCCATAGTTCTCCTTAGGGTAACGGGACACAAACTAGCGTCCTCCCGTCACCCTAGGCTCGGTATAATGCGGCGTCTCAGTATACTGCGAGCAACAGCTTGCGGTATACTGAGACGCCGCAGTATACCGCGAGCTGCTGCTCGTGGTATACCGTGACGCTGCAGCTGAAGCGGATCCCAACAATTGTGCCGGGATCCGCCCAGCTGCGTGACTGACAGCTGGCTCTGCCTATCTAGAGGCAGAGCCAGCTGTATCCGCCCCCTCCCCCGTCCGTTCCGCCAGTCAGCGCTGGCGGATCGGGGTGTTCGCTCACCTCCCGATCTACTGAGCCGACCTGTGACAGTCTCATTGTCACAGGTCGGCTAGAACTATGAGGTGAGTGAAAAGCACTCACCTCATAGTTCTCCTTTAAGTACCTTTATGATTTAAAGGAGTGGTCTGTGAATGGCAGATGTTTTTTTTATTTACCTCAACACAGGTTTAGTTTAAAAGATGATGATGCACCAATAAATGAGCCCAATGGCTTCCCATAAATTCTAGGGACTTTGGGGCTTAGATGGTATACAGTACACTATGGTTCTCAATTTTGCGTCCAATAACTTGGAGAGTCCCTGCTATTGCTTACTACATAACAAAACAAATTATAACAATATATCGAAGAAGAGTTAAAACTCTTGTAATGCCTATGTAAAACAGATAGTAATGCACAAGCATCTTGATACCTAGTAGTAGGAGAAGTTGGTGGCCGATTTAAAGCTCCTGCACCTACCATAAACAAAAATTCCGGGCGAAATGACCCTCTATGCAATGATACTTATAACCCTGAGGATCATTGTGAACAGCTTCAAGACCGCCATGAATCCTTGAAAAATTAGAAATGTTTCACCAATCCGTGTTGGACTATCCAAGCTTCCTATAATAGTGGATTATGACTCGTGATGTTCATATTGATTGACATGCTGCCAGGTACCGCCTAGTATATAGCCAACATACATTGTCCTGTGATGTAGCCATCATCTTTCAATAGAACGAGACAAATGATTTCCTTATATTTATCCTAATAACGTCACTAGGGCCCATTTAGAGCTATGGGTGTGCGTGGAGGTTTGTGTTTTCATTAGTGTTAGGCAGGTGAATTGTTATGCCTCAACATGTATATCCTTTGCGCATGGACACGCATTGACATGCTTTTCCAATGCAATTTTTTTTAATGAGTATTCGGAGAGGATAGACTTATCAGCTATTGACCAAGGCTTTTTAATACATGTTCCCAATATATCAAAATTGCCAACACATGCATTTTTGATTGCATTGATATCAACTTATGTTAAAATGGACATGCGTTTTAAAACAACGTGCTGCACCACAGTACTGAAATAGCAACATACCCGATCTTTTATTTATGGAGAACCATGATACAGGCATTTTTGTATGCAAGGATGCATGTGTTAAAAATGTACATGGGCCCTAAATAGTAAGGGTCACATGCAAGAAATAGAGGCTCATTAAATCAGCAAAAAACATACTGCAGCAGATTAAACACTCAGACTTCATCTTCAACTGTTCAGGCTAGACACAAAAAACTAGTCCATGAGGTTTATTGAGGTTTTTTTTTCCTATATACATTATATATTATACATTATCACTGCGACATGTATTAAAGAATATTCTAGAACTTACCCCAATTTCCACAGGTAGGTCTGTGCCATCCAGCAGCAATACAGACGAAGTTAGATTTTGGTTGGTGTTCTTGGAAGGAGAAGACGATAGAGCTGTGCTGAGGTTCTGTCCTGGTTCCAGTGTACTAATACCAGTACTTCTTTCTGCACCTAGACGGGCACCTGGAGTCTGCAACACTCGATATGTTCCTTCTATTTCCCCCATGATAGCCCAGTCTGGTTTTTATTTCCTGAAATAAATCAAAAAGACAAAATATATAAATATGCAAATGCACAAGGCTGCAAGATCAAATCCAACTGTCACAGTCCAACCTAAGCTCATGGAACATGAAAGCAGAGTTGATTAATGGTCTACTGGTGGAGTTGATTACTGGTCTAAGTCTACAGCAATTCTCACAGCTGGTTACTATTTTACAGAAATCTTTTCTCTAATGTTTGCGCACATTGGACACTTCCCGCTTCTGCCTTCAATTTAATAATAAAGCCTGCTGATGCCTTGCTCTCAGGAATGAGATGGGTGATGTTTATGCATTTGTCACTTAAAGAACTTTAGAAAACGCACTCTTGCCGTGGGGCTACCCCTGCACTGCAAGGGTTAGGTGCTCATTTTGTCTATAAGGCTTAAATAAGCAATTTTTCAGCCAGAAAATTGGCTGCTGAACAGTGACTTCATCCAATTAGCTGCCCTCACTGTTTGGCTATTTTACCAATCACAGTTCTTATCCAATGGCATTCAGTGTGGATTGGGGAATTGTGCTTCTTTTTTAATAAGCCCACAAGCTGAATGAGTTAGAATGACCAGTGTATAGCCATCTTTAGCTATGGTTAGAGTGGTAACTGATGCGTTTACAAATTTATTTGGATTATATCAGGCAGTGTGTGAGATTTGTACCTGCCAGGTCTCTTTTAGAGATGCATTTTATTGGACTGCAAGTGATCTACATATTACAACTGATGAACCCAAAAAGCAGGGTGTTATTTGCAGTGTTAAGGTACATTTAATAAATCTTAACCGAGGTAATGTAAGCTTCACGTGTGATGACAATAGTGTGAACTGTAGCGGACGCATGTCAAATATGTCCAAGCAGCACTGACTGGGCTGTTGACTGGTCTCTGCAGCCTCTTCGCCTCTGGACCCTGGCGTTCTAATGTCCGCTGACGCCCTCGCATCTAATGCAGGTCCATTGACTTGCATTAGACGTGAGGATACCGAGGGACATTTCACAGCCGGAGGGGGGAGAGAGGTGACTGCTGGGGGACCACAGATCAGGTGAGTATATCTGCTTTTTTGTTAGTGCAAACAGGGCCAACCAATGTTGGAATTTCTCCTGTCCTGCTGTCCTTGTTGAACAGGAGAAAGCAGAAGTCTTGCTGACTTGGACGACATTCAAGCAGTGTATGGCCAGCGTAAAACCGCCATCAGTCCAACTACACGTTTCAGTTATGCAGTATTAATTGTATGCATATATACTATAGTAGAATTTCACAAACCTGTACTCAAGTCCCACACTAGTGCTTGTCCTGCCAGTACTACATTTGGGAAAGCTAGTAAATCAGTAATGCACTTAGTTATGCATGTGGACAATCCACTGATTGAACTTTAGGACAGGTTTGAGGAAAAAAAACGCACTGTAGAATCAAGACAAAACATTTGATCAGTTTCTTGGGAATTGAAAAGAATCTCTGCTCACATTTAAAAATGTATTAAGGTAGCAAAATGGTTACATAGGCATACATTAATCCCAGGAGCCAGGTCGCCAATCCTCCTTAAGATTTTCAGCTGGCGCCCACCTTTTGAGGTTCTATTGATCAATGAAGATGGCTCCGAAAACATTCTATTGGCTCCTGGATAGGACACCCCCGATTCCCGAATCCCATAAAATGTGTCCACCCCTTAGTAGTTATAGATTAGTTATGCCTTAAAGCCTCTGTAAATCAGACTTCCCTTCTTACCATCACACCTACCT